AGAGTTGTGTGGTGCGCTCTCATATGGGTCCGAGGGCCAAAAAAACAACAAGAACAACACGAAGAGAGCCGAAAATATTAGAGCCCGTCTTCGTCCGACTTTATTACCTATACGAAAAGGATTTTTATGGTACGGCATTTTTATTGCGGACAAGTTTTAAAAATTCAAAAAACAACTGAAAATCGCAGACAAAATAAATCATAAAGCCGCGTGCAGCCGAGAGAGAGAATTCGACTCGCGAATAAGCAAAAGAAATGCGAAAAAAAATACGAACCAACGTCGGGGTCTATACCTACACACACTAGTCTGGGGCCTTAAAATTCGACCGTTTTAATTGCATTTTTAAATGAGTTGTGCGAGTTTTAAGGGCACAATGCAGTGAATTTATATTGGTTTATTAATTTTAATTTGACAGGGCCGGCGGGGCCACGACCGCAAAAACTAGAACAAGTCTGGTGGTAAAGCACAAGGACCGATGGGAGAGAACGAAAAGAATGAACCCAACACGGCTCATGCTGATTTTTATCAACTTGACAAAGAAATACGAGCATAAAACAACTTTGAAAACATTTTGCAAAATTCAAAAACGATTTATAGAAAACTTGTTGTTTTTACACTTTTACTACCATCAGTTTTTATTATTTTTAAAAGTGCCCAACTACTAGAGAAACAATGATTTCAAAAAACTGTGCTCTTTCATGTTTATTAAAAAGATACCTAACAGCATGAATTTTTACAAAAAATGTCACATGGAATGTTGCATATTGTCTATTTCTACATTTCCAAATATCCAAAATATTAATCTGACTATAACTTCCAAACTATTGCGAATTTTGAACTTTTCTCGACACTAGTCGATATTTTGCATAGGCAAATTTTAAAACGTTATAACTTTTGAGGTACCTACAGTTTTATCACAATTTATAAAAATAAATTAGGACAGTTTTTGGGCCTTAAAATTTGAAAAATTTGTACTTTATAACTCTTATTACAGGCTCCTAATAGGATTAAATTTATTAAAATACAAAAAAGCTCTCTTTATGTGCCGCTCTTATTTATTGTAGGCACTTGTTTTAAAGTTAAAAAAAAAATACTTTTTGTGTTTCGACGACGTTTTATGCACTTTTGGACTCCTCGAAGTGCATTTCGATCAATTGTGAAGTTTTCAACTTTTTGATAAAATTTAGGTCGATTTTTGGTACCCGATGCGGTTTTATTGCCAATAACTCCGAAATTATTGGCGCTAGCCCTTTATGATTAGTTTCGTTGGAAAGCGCATTAACTTTTTATCATATTAAAAAAAGATCATTGGCCTATTATAAATTGTCATCGAGAAAATTGCTGGTAAAATAAAAAATATCGAAAATAAATTTATACTATAACTTCTAAACTAATACGAATTTTCAAGTTTTCTTAACGCCAATCCATTTCCCGGGACATTTTACATATGTCTACGTCAAAATATTTTATCACTGAGGTTTTGCGGCAATTTACAAAATAAAAAAAGTAAAAATTTGTTAATAAAATTAACAAAAAAAATGTACCTCTTGTTTCATTTCATAGGTAGATTATACTTTTCTAGTATAGGTATTCCTCGTAGTATCAATTTTTTATAAGAATCAAGTTTTTTGAATTTTTGGTCATTTTGCTTTCCTATGCTTATAGTCCTTAACTCTATTATTTAATATCTCAAAAACTATGCATCGTATAGTAATTTTAACTTCTTGCATCGTGTTCAACGCGTAATTTTACAGTTAGAAAATTATATTTCAAACGTTTTTGCGACTTAAGTTAAATTGACTATTTTTACGATTTTGCTACGGGGCTCACCTTCAAAAACTTATAAAAAATTCATAATTTTTCAAACTCTACCAAATAACGTTTTGTATAGTTTTTGCATCTTTATTTCCATTTACCTATAGGTAGGTAAAAAAATTATTTTCAAAATTTTGAAAAATTGTGTTGTAGTTAATTGGTGTTATTGCTTAGTGTTATTTATTCTTGATAATTGAATATTACCTCATCCCACTCGATTAGAAAACGCCGATCACGTCCCATGAACCTTTATGGCAAAACGTACCATAACTCATCGCAATGTCATATTTGTAATTTTTAAATGTCCCCCATTGACGTGCATCGTCTTTTCAACAAAACGCACATCTATAAAAAGAACTCTTGTTTATTCATAATGAGATTGACGCGTATTTTTTTCAATTAAAATGTGAAATGTGCAAGACATGACTACATTATAAAATTCTTTTTATTGCTTGCTCGCTTCCTGTCTTGATAATGATAATAATTATACAACGAGCATACAAATTAGACGAAAAGACGATGATGATGCGTCACTCGACTTTTTCGACATTCGATGAACTGCTCATTTTCCCAAGAAATTTCGTGTGACTAAAAAAACCAACATCCAGGTGTCGAAAAAAAAGGACGAATATTTGCATTTTTACCTGTTTTTTATTAAAGGGGTTGGGAAAGGATTCGGTTTCGGCCAGGTAAAGAGCTCCAGGGTGAGTGTTACGTTTAGACGGGGTGAGAAAATCATCACAAAAAGCAAAATCATTTATTTATTGTTCGACTTGGTTCAATTACAATAAATATTAACATGTGGGAGAAATTCGAAATCGATTCCAATTATTGATATTTTATTGTAACCTACGTACGACTGCCTACTGTTGTTTTCTTCCATTGCTTCGATATGTTCTTGAATCGCTACCTTTAATACATTTTCTGCACCTGATATACCAATAAACGATAAATATTCACTTTTTACGACTACGTTTATATTTTAATGGAAATTGGATTTTTTCAAGTTTTGTGTTTGTTCGTTTTTGCATTTTTCGCTCTATTGAGACACTCACGCGTATCTAATGGTTAAGAGGTTGTAAAATTAAATGCTTCGAGAGTTATTATCATCGAGGACCGCATTCAAGACGAAATTTAATCGCCAACACACCAAATAATTATTTACTTACAGTGATTTTAATAATAATTAATAATTACCACACTACTGTCAAAAAAGTTGTTTTTTTTTTCAAATTTTAATGTGACTTTGAAATTAAGTTGGCAACTTGTAGACAGAAAATACAGAAATTACCGTGAGACTTTATCGTCAAGTTGGCCATGAAATCATAATTGGGCAACACTAATAATCAAATTCAATCGTCATATTTTTACAGTCAAGTGTCATTCATTTCCTTGATCTGACCTGACCTATAGAACAACGTGATATCTTCAATAAGTCAGTGTTGTTAATAGATTATATTAAAAATTGGCAAGTCTCATTCTGATGTATGTACATTTATTCAATGTTGCCAACTTAATTTCAAAGTCACGGGCCACTTTGATTAAAAATTTAATTGTTTGATGCATAAAGTCGCTGTCAATTTATAGTGGCCACTTCCCTGTGTAAATTTGTAAAAAATGACAATTCTGAAAATGTCATACTTCACATAAAATCTAGTGCGCCTGTCACAATTGTTGACACAATTTAGTTACTTCTGCTGCCAACATAGACACAACTCACCCACTAGAGGTGGCAGGAAAGGGGCTGCCAACTTTGCAATAAGTTAAATGACCACTAAGAAGTGACCGCGACTTTAGTATTTGAAAAATTAGAAAATTTTTTTTATAGCTTTCAGTTTAATTAATTGCATTTTTTATCCTTTTTTCTTAAATAATTAATTAATACTACTTAATTAATCAATAATCATGAAACAACCAAGTGAAAAAACACCGCAGTTGTTGATACCTAATATGAAAATTATTGTAATTAGTCATAAATCGAAATAAAACTAATATAAATTCCCATTTTATGACTTTAGTTGTTATCTTAAGCATTTTCCATTTGCCATTAGAAAAGCTTCTATTACAAATTTAAATAAATGCATTCACAGTAGGTTATTACATTTCTCGACCATAAAATTGAACTCTGCTACCTAAACTGTAATTAATCCAATAAATTAAACGTTACCTACTATATAATTATAAGAAGTGATAAAATTTATTTATAAAAATGGAAACAAATGATTAAAATTTGGGGGTACCCAACACAAAATCGTAAAGTAATAAATCAAATCAAGTCAACCTTGAAAAAATCACTCCTTCTGTTATTCAATTCAAAAAATGCGTAAATTTTCAAACTCAATCCAATAACGTTTTATGCACTTTTTTGAGTCTTTAGGACGTTATAGAGGCGAATTTTAAAGTTGAATTTTTTTAATTTTTGGTACCCGGAGGAGTCTATTGCTATAACTCCGGAATTATTAGCGCTAGCCTCTTGTATTAGGGATCGTTGTAAAGCAAATTTAATTTTCTATCATATAAATGAGTGTTCTACGATAATTAATTATCGAGAAAATTGCTGATAAAATAAAGAATATCGAAAATATAAATTCGACTATTACTTATAAACTATTACGAATTTTGCTATTTTCTCGACGCCAATCGATTCCTCGGAACATTTTACTTATGTATAAGTTAAAATATTATATGTCTGAGGGACAGTTTTGCAGCAATTTACAAAATAAAAAAAAGTTAAAACTTGTGATTGTGTTTATTACTACCATTGTTATGTCAGCAATTGGAATCAACCATCACAACATCTGAAATGTAATTTTTTTGATCTAATTTCGCTTTTTAACTCTGACATTCCATAAAGACCCCCTCCACCCCCGGATCCAGTTGCATGCCACCCACGCACCCCTCGTAAAAAAATCAAAACAAAAACTCGTCCAGTGCGCGATGAATGAAAACAAGCGACGATCGTTCCCTCTCTCTCGCATGTGAGTACAGTCGGAATTTGCGAAATTGACGCATCCGCAGTGGCATTTTTCACCGCGAAATCTACACAGACACACACACTTACACTAAATGTACCTCTATTTACGATTTCAGCCAATCTAAATCCAAGATTTGGCTGAAATTTTTTCGGCTGAAGTAGAGAGGGGACGCACTGGTGGGGGAAACGTTGTATTTTGAAATTGTGGACGGCTTCAGTCGCGCTCCGTGACTTCAGCAGGGAAGTACGGGCCTTTGGTCGTATGACACCCCTTTTTTTTCAGTTTTGTGTTGACTGTATTTTTTTCTTCGGACACTTTGTGCTTTAGTGTGACTCCCCCTGTGTATGTCGGATTTTTTTCTCTCTCGCTTGAGTTTGATTTTTGGGTGATGGTTGTGTGTGATCATGTAATTGGCGGGCCCTAAGGAGTGAAGTTCAAGGTACTTTGAAAAATTCAGCAGAATTTCGTTGCGTCATTGCACCTAAATAAAAGCGCTGATTTTTTGCAAATTTTCGCTGACGACGTTTTCTCGAGCCGAAATGACGACAACGAATGGAATTGTTTTATCGGGGAAATATTATTTTTCAGTGATAGTGATGGAATGACAGGTATTTTTTATTATGTGGAATGAGGCGCTGTTTTGAGGGAAATTCAAATTTCCGCGGTGAAAGTTCACTAAACGCTGCTGTTACTGACCTTACCTTTCGGTTTTCGGGCATTTTCCGGACTGCGATTACGGCTTCCGGGTGCGCAATCCCACATTGCTTTTTTGCAATCAGAAATATGACACAAATTCGTATTAATAACAATAATTATAATATGCCATTTAATAAAAGTGTACGGTTATTAAAATAACTATAAACAAGAAACCTGTTCGCTGACATTTTATTACATTTTTACAATTTTCTTCAATTTTTTAAACCACATTATTGAATTGTCAAAATTTTAAATATTATCGATTTAACTAACTACTCTGTAGAGTACAGGATGATTCAAAAGAGCGCTTCCTTTAATTAGCATTAATAGAAGCCTAAATTTAAGTTTTTTTTATTTAGTTTTTTTACATTAAGAAATAAAAAGCGCGATGATCGTATTTTGCGGAAATAACAATTCTATGTTCCTTATTTTTTTTTAAATCGAATAATAAAATTGTTAAAATTATGAATATTGTCTATAGTTAAAAAATATTTTTGTTAATTGGCAACTACAGGATGATTCAAAAAGACGCTCTATTTAAGTAGCATCAAATAATATTACTCAAAATTGCATTTTTACTAAAGTTGAAAACCTTCAAGCGCCAAGAAGGTGGTCCAGGATATTTATTTTTCTTTTAAATTTATCTTTTTATATGTCGAGGTTTCCCCACACTCTGAAATACAAAAAAGTATTGTATTTGTACTAAGTACTTGTAACATTTGTTTCGAATTGCTGTAGACAGTCGAAATTTATACTTAATATACAAATGCAAGATTTCATATTCATCAGATATAGAATTTGTCTCCAAAAAATTTGTTTTGAATTGTATTTTCACAGCAATTTGAAACACATACAATTTAAAAAAAATAGAAGTACTTAGTATTTTTTAGATTAAAATTGCGTGTAGTAAGAAAAATAAACTAAAAATTGTCGACACGTGTTTCAACATCTAAATTAGCATCATCAGGACGCGTCCAGATGGTGATGTTGACTTCTATAAAAAAACTATTCACAACTAGGTAAAAACTTGTAGAGCAAAATTTTGATAGTTTTTTCTTTAAATAGACTAAAATTGTTTTTTAAGTTAACTTATTTTTTAACTTTATTTTTGTTATAAGTTGATAAGTAGGTACATCAAAACTTTTTTAAGAATATTTATTTTTGTTGTTTGTAACTAAAAAATGAAAGTTAAAAAAGTTAAGTTAAATTTAAATAACTAAATAATTATGTTTTAAAAATGTACAAAATATGGTGATATAATAGCACATTAAAAAACGATGGAAAATGATATATTTTTATTGACTCACTCAGTATAATGTTGAATTTTACCAAAAATGTCTTGACATAAGTCCGAATTTTTTTTAAGTTCGTTGCACTAAATATTTACTGTAGCTGATATGAACAAATGAAAGCAATTTTTTTTTAATTCTTTTGTTTTATCCCTTTTTTTGATAATTTGAGGAAGATATAGCCAGTACAACAATAAGTATTTCCGTGTAAAAATTCATTTTGCAAAAGCCGAAGTTGGTCCCTCACTGCTTTTATCATATTTTTTAATTTTTATTACATTTTTCGGCTGACATTATTGGAATTCTTTCGCGTCTCATCTTTTATTATAATTTTTGTGTGTATTTTCCGTCATAAAACCGGCCTTTATCTGTTCAAACCGTCCATTTTTTATCTTATTAATTCTGTCGAAAAAATAAAAATTTCGATTTTAGTTCGAATTTTTACGAGCACTTGCAAAATAATTAATTCGGCCGTTTAATCGCGCCTGGAATTTTGTTAAATTCGTGTAGAAGGCAAAAATCTTCTACCCGGCTTCCGGAAAATAATATTTCATAAATTTTAATTAGTTGTGATGGCCACAAATTAGTTTTCAAGTAGCGATTTTTATCGTTTTAAATTAACATTTATATGGACAAATTAAAATAGCTACGATAATATAATAACCAGTCAGTTTTTCGTTTTCTTTCTCCAAAACTAGGAAACTGATATTTTTTTATCGTTCTCCCACGCAGTACGGATGTCCATAATCTTTTCTCTTGCTATTGCACCAATTTCGGTTTATTATAAGTAATAAAATTCTAAATCTGGGGCAATATTTTTGCTTTATTGGAACACCTAATCTGTTTAGTGCCACAAAGTCCAATTTAAACACGAGAAACGCAAAAATGCGAATGGGTTTGGTGCATCTGAAACCAGTTCTTTAAAATCGAATAAAATCGGAAATTCTTGTAAACGAATTAATTAAATTCGGTCGGTCGGTTCAGCGTCCGATTTTTCCTCCGATTTTTCTTTTTTCAGTCGTGAATTAAGCCACAAAAATCCCAGAGACACTCCTACGGTCTGGTGTTTTTTTAGTCAGTGGCCAGACTTGTCGGACACGTTTTAAAACGAACCGGAGGAATTTTCGGGGAATGCTCTTTAAAAGACATCACCAACGACACCGATAACGCCGTTTTTATATCTCTTAGACGCATTAAATTTTTCCGTTTTATTGCTATATTTACCGGACGCTCATGTAGTAAAATCAAGGGGGGACTTAATCAACAATAAAATTGTTTAAATAATTTAGAGCGCTGCCGTAAGAGATTAACACGAATTTATGATTGCGACAATGTTTTTCTAGCGGCGCTCCTGCTTTCAGCGAGCAAATATTTGAAGTGAATTTCGTAAAAATTTCATAAATTATTTGAGGATTAAAGAGGATTTTTTTTCACCCTCAATAAACGGCGGCGATTGCAGTGGCGTGCGGTCCGGATTTGATTTATTTACCAAAATGTTAAACGATCGTGTCGTAATTTGTCAACACGGCTGGGTTTTGATCGCCATCTGGCGAAAAGAAGAAAAGGTGAAGGTCGACATTTCAATACGTTAATTAATAATTTTTAGAGCTGATTATGTGGGCTAAGAACTACTACAAATTTTTTTCCAGAGGTAAAATTCTTGATCTCATACAAAATCCATAAAAAAATACATAAAACCGAATATTTCTAACGATCGACATAAACGTGTTGACGTTTCTTAGTAATGTTTCAAATTCTTCTTTATATCACAGATGTGTTGAGTTAATATTTTTGATTTATTTATTTACTATTTAGTTTTAATGGGTTTTAATAAATTCGATTTATGCAACCAATGACGTCTTGTTAAACTCATGATAAAGTGATCAAATTGGCACTTTTATTGATTGCTTCTCTTTTTTTCGTTAAATAAACAACTTGAATAAACACTTTGTCCAAAAAATCCACGATGACTAGATGGCGATTGTAATCTACAATTGGTTTTAAACATCTAGTAGGCTGGGAGAATACATAAAATTACATGACGTTTAGAAAGTCAACTTATGCCTACTTGATTCTTAATATCGTCAGGAGATTTAACAAGTAATAATTTTTGAGTAAAGATGTCGCCACTATTTAATTACATTTTTGGGTCAAGAGTATGTTGAAACTTTGAAAAATAGTTTTTTTTCAGTAAAATATTGTTTTGTTGATTTTTGTTGTAAAGAATGCGAACTTTTGGTTTTTGCAGAATTGTACACTCGCTTGATAAAGTAATGTACTTTCGCAAAAATTGACATTTAATATTTTTCTTAACTTGCTAAAAGAATGAACAAAAATGGATTTTAAAATTTTTGACATTTTAGCTGTACAACCGGATTATAAAGGTTTGTACACACTTTCTTTATTAAGTGGAACAAAATACAATTGAAAACTGAATGAATATTAAAATTCTGTTTTTTTAAGACGATTATAATGATTATGTATAGTTGACTATTAAAAAAAGAAAAAAAGGAAGACATTTTTAGTACTTAGATGTATTGTTTTTATAAAAGGCTGATTTTGGAATACACGACACTATTTAAATCGATAAAAACCTTAAAGCTATGCGTTTGTACAAATAGTTCACAATAAGAGAGAAAATCTTCATGAAAATATACTCTGAAAAAGTGAGTACGCCACTGACCTGACCTGACCTGATCTGACGTGCAAATTCATAGACGCCGAGACGAGGATTGAATCTGTTCACAATTTTTTGTTTTAATTTTCTTTAATATTTTTTTTTGGATTATCAATAAAAACGTAAAGTTATTGAATCTTGAATGTACAGTGTCTTGCAAAAGTAATGTACCCTCTAACCAAGCGCAAATTTCAGCGTGTGTTTCACATTACATAATTGGTTCATTAATTTGCCAATTAATTTTAAAGTTTAATCAAGTTTATAAACAAATTGTCAATTGTTTATGACAGTTTTGCTTACGTGTTTCAATAATTTAGTAGGCTTGCAAGTTTCTGCGAAATTAATTGGATAAAAAAATTCTAGGTCGACTAGATTTCACATTAGAATCGATGTAAAGCTTTCAATTGTTCCCGTATTTGTATCAAAGACTGCTTGATTTATATGTAAAATTATGCATAAAATAAATCTAGGCTTGCTAAATTATCGTGAGTGAATTTGTTGAATTAATTGTTTTGACATAAAATTTCAATGCTCACCGAATCCGCTATGGTAGGCGTCCGTCCTGTGATAGAAAAATGCTAATATACTGAGTGTCCCTAAAAATCCCGCCATCGCTTTGTAAACAATTAAAATAAATTTTGTAAGAGCACGTATCTCGCCGATCCCATTTTCTTGTTATAAATTTTCATTTTATTCAAATTTCTCAATGTGGGTTTTAACAACAATACCATTATCACTTTAGTTAACATAATTCCATATAGCAAAGTATACGAAGGA